CAGTTGAAACCAACCGTCGACGTTCAATCAACGTAAAATACGGTCTACCGTTCATTCATCAACTAGTTGAATTCGTAAACGTCTTAAACTAAGAGTTCACGATGTTCATATAAACTGGCAAGTCGACGACGACTTTTAAACGTGGTTACTTATTGCATCGTCCGTTTAGTCAAAGCATTCAAAGCAAACAAATTCGAACTTTTGCACTAAACGCGTAATTTAGTAGAGTCGCCTCTAGTATTTTAGTAAAGCCTGGTCCGTGAGCACGTAGAATCCCGTCCAATGACCCCAAGCTACCCATCCCTATCGCTCGCGCGTAATTATGTTGCTGTCGCGCTCGCACACTCACTGCGGGCGCCCGTCGCACAGTCGCGACAGCAACATAATTACGCGCGAGCGATAGGGTTGGGTAGCTTGGGGTCATTGGACGGGATTCTACGTGCTCACGGACCAGGCATTAGATGGAGTTATTTGTATTATTTATAGCCCTGGCTGAGCAAGCGCTGCCGGGTGCCGGTGCCGATCGAGCTGATAGCTATCGTGGTGGGCACGCTGGTGTCGAGGTTCGCAGACCTGAAGGCGGTCTTCGGGATCGGCCTCATCGGCTCCATACCTACTGGGTGAGTCTTATTATACCTAGATACAGGCCCCTCTTTCCCACTGGGCACTTTGGGCACGTGCCCAGGGCCCCGCCACCGAAGGGGCCCCCCTCTGCTCGAAATACCCTTCTCCAGATTATAAGGGCCACCCTTGGTCCTTAAGTGCCCAGGGCCCCTAGTAGGTTAAAGACGGCCCTGCCTAGATATGTATGTTGCTGAAGTTATACAACCCTTTGAACTTCAAAGCACGAGTGAATAGGCCTCTTATGTCACTTCACTTTACCATAGATCGAATCATCACCCCAGGGGTGAGATTATTTCAAGAACAAACCAGGAGGCGTAGTGTGGGTTTTCGATATCGAGTGCGAAAATCTATTATTAATATTTTTGTTCTTAGAATGTATCCACTATGGGCGCTGTTCAATCCGTCATACTTACATTTAATGTAGTTTTTTACGTTCTCTTAAAGATTCAGAAAATTTTCGCTTTGAGTATATTCGAGTTCCAGCAGATCAGATTATGGTCACTCCCACTCATTTTCCCGTGGATATTGTAAAAAACTACTAAGGGATAAATAAATCACGCTTCCACGCCAAAATCTTCATTTGCCTCTGGTAAAGAGAGGATCGTGCTCCAGCAGTGAAGACTAAATCTATGGTCTAGTGCTAAGACCGCCTGCTTCAGACCCAGAAGTCCCGAGTTCGATTCTTAGAAGAGCTTCCTCTTTGTGTTAACCGCCCCTGTGCTCTAGTGCTAAGTAAGACCACTTGCTCCAGAGGTCCCGGTACGATTTCCAGGGGAGCATCCTCGTTATGGATTAATAAGAACCTCTCCTTTTGTTCCAGCCTGCCAGTACCCCAAGTGCCTCCCGTAGAGCTGTTCCCAACGATAGCCATAGATGCCTTCACGATCACCATGGTCACCTACACCATATCGATGTCGATGTCGCTCATATTCGCCGCAAAGGAGAAGTATGAAGTGGACGCTAACCAAGAACTACTGGCGCTGGTGAGTTGATCAGTTTTTGTGATAAAATGAGTTTGAAATTGACTTATTTTGTAATGTCTAAATACAACGACTAGTGCCAGATAAAGATTTTTGTTTCTTCCTCTTTTGAGGCACACCGTATGCTGAAACGGAGACTTTTTAGCACACCCTATTCCATGTTTTAAATATTAATTTCATTGTTTCAATGAAACGATATTCTGTTCCATATAAAAAGCACTGATTTCAATGCTGGATAAAGATCTACCAGATCCTTGCAATCAAAGTCCAAAGCTAAAGTAAAGACAAATTGCTTCTTTTTTATCTAAACTAGTTTACGATACTAAAAATTAACCGAATAGCATATCCTACCAACCAATTAGTTTTCCTGTAAATGCACTTTCAAATAAAGTGTATTAAACGTATTTTCCTTTTGTCCATCAGGGTGCCAGTAACGTGTTTGGATCCTTCTTCTCATGTGCACCGATGTGCGCTAGTTTGTCACGCTCTTACATCCAGTATCAGGTGAGATAACTAATTAAATCAAATTGAATAAAATTCTTCATTGGGATAATTTTGAACTTTTGAGATCGTTGCATTTCTGAATGTATGATGAAGTCATCGATATATATTTTTATACGCAACGATACCCTTTCGCTTTATTTTGGTTGGTAACGAGATAAATTGTGTAGGTGGACATGTTTTACACCATATGCAATATATTTCAGGGTTTTATTAAAAAGGAACAGAACGTCAAGCTTTGTTTAAAACCCTGTTACATTGATAACTATTAGTAAGATTTCATATAATAGCTCTAAAATCAGTGAGTTTATGGGAACAACTAGCCGTGTGGCAGAGTAGAATAGAACCAGTCTTACTCGTCCCGTAGATATATATCGTAAAAAGCGACTAAGGGACAAATATGTGAGGTCAGGCTACCCCAAGTGTTGACGATGGCCACCAAGAGTAGGTACTAACTAACTAGAACGACGTAATGTTATACTTTTTGTACATTATAATATAAACTACTGACTATTATATGACCTTAAGTCCTGTGACTTACCTGATAGTATTTTTGTTTATAACCTGAAATCTATTTAATACCTAAATGTGTAATCTATATCTTTACCTACCTATATCTAACTAAGCCAATAATGTCTAAATGTTTGCTANTGAAGCGCCTCTATGCCAGGGTTTTTATGTTCCTGGTCAGGCTATAATCATAATTTTTTTATCAATACTGTTACTACCAAGAACCATTTAAAATACATAATTTTTATTTTCAGATCTTTTTTCTTCATAACATTCATTGGTCATATTGTTTTAATTAATAATGTTGTTACTAAGTAAGAGGCGACTTAGGGACTACACATCAAACAGAGAATGGGCAGCAGCGCTCTCTGAAAAACATCAATCTTTAAACTGCGATCTCCAACCCGCCTGCCTAGCGTGGAGATTATGGCAAAACCCTCCACTATAGTGGAGGAGGCTCATAGTCCAGCAGTGGACTGTAAAGGGCTGTTGATGATGATGTTGTTACTAAGAACATACTTCAACTCATAATGTTGTTGTTCAGAATAATTTACTTTATAACAGACATACTCGTATCTTTAAAAAAATCATATATAATTTAATAGAGTAGTAGCAGAGCATGCAGCATGCATTGGTATCTCCTCGTCTCCGGCGCTGCGGGATGTGCAGCCCTTCCGCCCTTGCGTCACGAGGCTCAGGCACCCACGCTTGCTTCCGCGGCTTCGGCTTTTTGGATCGCCATCGGCGCCTTCGGCGCCTCGGCGACCAGCCTCAGCCGCTCCAGCTCACCCGGGCGCCTGAGCCTCGTTACAGCGGGCGAGGGCTGCCCTCCCTCCGCGCCTCCGGCTTTTAAATTACACTCTAGGGGTAGGGCAGACAAGACTACGTGGAGTCGGTTTTGCAGCGATTCGTTTCTGTCACGTTAGTTTTGTGGCACAAAATATTGCCTGTTTTGGACCATTTCAAATTAATTTAATGTTAAAATACGATTTAATACGAATATAGACATCATGATTTTCAATAATATGGAAAAATACACTTATGAGTAATAAATTTATGAAAACAAATATTAGGATACATCGCATTTATGAATATTATAGTTATTTATTCGAATGATTATGAGTTTCGATCATTAGTATAGAAAAATATATGAAAACAAATATTAGTAAAAACTAAGTGTATGATTAATGATATTATGAATATCAATGATTATGTTTTTAAATATGTAGGTTTTAAATTTTTTATGAAGAATGATCATTATGGTATCAAATTGTATGAGAAATATTTTCGGACCTCCAATGATAGGAATTGAAAAGTTATGTAAGAAAATGCGCTACCGTTCAGTTCAGTTCATGATTATGTTGCTCCATAACGACAGGGAACTGGATATGGCCAGCCGTGGGATGCTCATATCGAAATGATAGAAGAAATAGCCAAAGAATTAAAACTGCAAGAGATTTGATGCAAGCTTTGATTGCTTATACTAAGTGTAAGAAAGCACATTCTGGTATAGCAGATTGACAGAATACGACTGGAGCAGAAGAAATAGAAATATGATGCTTAAAAATTGTCTACTACGCCTTGAAATGGAAACGATTTGGAGTTCAATGATGCAAGCCAATATGGACTGCTTATTTTAAGTGTAGGAAGACTCAATCTGGTATAACAGATGGACGTGACTCGATTGGAGCAGAAAAAGCCTATGAAACACATTACAGGATATTTTATTAACCACTATTACAGAATAGCAGTGCACCTTCTTCTATGGAAGATTAAGTTTAGAAGCCCTACCTTCGACATAAGATCTGACGATGTACTCGTAATACCGTAACAAAAGTTCAATAAAATACATAGTCAATTACAATTTGTTTGTTTCTTTCATAGTAATTTTGACTAATCTCCATCACCTGATGTTAAGTGTAGATATCTAGGGTCTTACATACCTATATTACCTAGTAAGTACTAGTACTCAGTCCTTCTTTAAAGCCGAACGATGAAGGGGTCGGACTGGCCGACTCGTGATCCGGGGAACGCGGGTTCGGTCCCCGCTGCCGATCCGACTATTGTGGTGAGCTCACTCGTGATACAAGCATATTTAGCTTAGTACGAGGGGCTAATGAGACTATTAGTATGAGTAAGTTGTGAAATAACAAATTACTAATAATCTTTAAAAAAAAAGGTGGCCCAGGTCACAGAGTTTTAGAAAGATATCAGCAGGTAGCGAGTGCCAGCCCCCAGCGGTTTACGTTAGGGATAGGTCAGCAAAACAATTTTTGAGTGCAGGTGGGATGTCGAACGTAGGGGATGATACTCCAACCTGCGTTTCGTTCCCCAATAATGGAAGTTGACGGCATTTCTGATGAATTTCTTTTCTCTCTTCTCCAGGCTGAAGAGTTACCAGGCGTGAAAATCTTCCACTACTGCGGCGGCTTGAACTTTGCCAGCAAGAACTTGTTCAGGGAGACCCTCTTCCGCAAGATCGGCTACCTGAAGCCGACGGAGGTGGTGCCCGATGACGACAACAACCTTACGAAAAGTGACTCGTACGAGTGGGACCCCACTATTGGGCATCGGGTAAGAATCTTTTAGACTTTACAATGTTTGAATTATTACAAAACTCATAAGATTTTAAGCTTTCGCCTTCCATAATTCATTTTAATTATTATAAACCACTTAATGTGTTCCTCAATTGGCTTCCGTGAAAGGTTTATTAATAACTTTTTAGCCACTTTTTAAGTAGAACTATTTACCTACGCACTTTTGTGAAGGAATATTTTGAGCGAAACTTGCTCTTTGTTCTTTAATTAAAGTTTTGATTTTACCTTCTCTAATTTACCATAGGCAAATGGAAGATTCAATAAAGTAATGTTATGTCATCAAGTCATTTAATATTCACTGCAGGAGCACGGCACGACCCTCTCTAACATCAGAGGCAAATTGAGGATTTAACTTACTCGCTACACCAGGGTTTTGGGGGAGGTCTTCCCCCTGTTTATAGCTAAGAAAATGTAAAAATCCAACGACTAGTGGTGTGTATGTGGTGTATCATCTATCTATACCTTGTCTCCCAGGTCCAATGCGTGATAATCGACGCAACGGCGCTGTCGTACGTGGACGCGCCGGGAGTGAAGACGCTGGTGGCTGTGCAGCGAGAGCTGGTCTCCAGCAACATCACTGTTCTTCTGGCTGGGGCTAACGGTAAGAAGGCTTCACATACCCTTATGATGATAACTGTAGATTGGAGGAAATAACAGAACCTGGGCCTTTGACAAACTAGGGTTTGCTTACTTTATAACACGCACAGATTTCAATGATTTATTGCATAATCTCACACTAATGTCACTCATTGTACAGTAAGCTATTTGATATCCCCAGGGACTATTAACCTTCACTGATTAGTGAATGCATTAAAGGCTAAGCTGTAGTTCCTGGATATGTACAGGAATTGCAGTGGTGGGATTAATCCCGTTAAAATAAAGTAGTACTAGGATAGTCATGATCAATAAAAGAACAAGAATGAATAGCAATGGTCCTAAAATAGTACCTTGTGACACGTTAAAATTACATTAAAATCACAAGTGTTTTCTAATTCTTTAATTCAGTATGGCCTTTACTGGTTGGGTTTTTATTGGTGGTCAAGCTGTAAATCATGGCTACGAATTGCAGCTGTTGGAAAAGAGAAATAGAGAATAGTCCCTTTACCCAATAATTTAATTTCGAACTATGTTCTTCTAATTCATTTCGTTGCGGGTCCAAAGACAGTTAACTTTCTCTCAGGACAAACTTGACCTTCACTGGTGTAGGTTTTTATTGGCGTTCAAACTGTAGATCCTGGCTACACAGGAGTTGCAGCGGTTGTATCGTTCCCACAGCCTATTATACTAACTTCACGAAACTTTACAGGTCCAGTATTAGAGATGATATCGAAATTCAACTCGCTGGAAGCTGACAGACTACAACTAGACACCTTCCCAACCGTCCACGATGCAGTGGTTTACTACAAACTAGTTGAAGCGAAGAAGCACGAAATAGCTGTCACGGTGACAGCGTGATACCTGTCATTATGACAGAAGTTGGCAGATTGCGCACGCGACGTTTTACGTGTAAGTGCGGTAGTTGGTGCCAATAACTTTTGTCGTTTGAAGTATGTTCAAATAAAATGAAAGTGCTTGAAGTAGAATAGTACAGTAAATTTTAACCTGCAGCAAAATAACGACCCAAATGGATTTTGAAACTGGGTTTTGTTTTAAAATTGATTTTTCAAAAAATGCCACGCCAGAAACTGCGACGTAATGCCACGATATTTGTGGCATGGTACATTGTTTCAGTGACTGCTCGCTACGATTTATGTCATATCGTATGAATGGCACTCTATCTTATTTTTAACGATAAATGTGTCTGTTATGTTAATCTAAAATCGATAAAATTCCACGATTATATCGTGGTCTTTACACTAAAGCTTCAACCACACCTACGCGTGCCGGCGCGATCATAGGCCTGTCATGGGTCACGCGACCTGTCATTTCCCTATGACAGGCCTGGCTNCTCATTTTCAACATACCTACCTAGACTTTTCATTTTCATCTATCACCTACGTTCACCCATCGACCTACATCGCCTACACCAAGTCTAATCTAGACAGCCTGGAGAGTAACAGTCAAATCTTTCATTACCCGTTGGTGAATGAGGGCTATCGTTTTAGCGCTCACCAGTTAGCGCCACTGTAGAGTAAGGTCCTGTCACTTGCTAGTAGCGAAGACAGTGGCACCAACTGGTGAGCGCGAAAGTGGTAGGAGGACTATCGTATTTGCACTCATCAAGATGGCGCCACTGTAGAGTAAGGTCCTGTCGATCGCCAGGGGTGCCAACTGTTAAGTATAAAAATGATAGCCCTCATTGGTAAGAATCTTTTTTCTGCAGATGAGACTAAATAACCTGATAATGATAATGATCTAAACTAACCAACTGTATGGCTGAAACCATGTATGATGTCTCCAGGCGGGCAGCAAGACAGGCATAACCTCAGTGGTGAGCTCGCTTCTGATCCTATGCGTGCTGCTATGGGTGGGGCCGTTCTTCGAACTGCTGCCGCGATGTGTGCTCGCCTCAATCATCGTGGTATCGCTTAAAGGCATGTTCATGCAAGTCAAGGAGCTGGCTAAGTGAGTAAACGAACCTTTCTACTCCTTTACAAAATCTTAGATTCTCTTTAAAAGAATTCTCTTTAGAATTTAAATTATCTATAGAAAACATAGTTTTTGGTACAAAGTCAGCGTCAAAAATTTCGAAACACATCTTTGTTGCAATGAGGGCTATCGTTTTTCTACTCAACAGTTGGCACCCCTGGCGATTACCAGGACCTTACTCTACAGTGGCGCCATCTTGATGAGTGCAAATGCGATAGTCCTCCTACCACTTTAGCACTCACCAGTTGGTACCACTGTCTTCGCTACTAGCAAGTGACAGGACCTTACTCTACAGTGGCGTAAACTGATGAGCGCTAAAACGATAGCCCTCAATGGAATAAGGTTGTATTGTCAACTTAATGGCCACTTTGGGTGTCAAGAACTATTTGCCGCTGAATGTATCACAGAGAGGTTAGATACCTTCATAATACATGAACCAAAACTCACGCTAGATTACGAGTATGTGAAAGCTCGCGCTCAAGACCTATACAAGTACATCTGGGCCTAATAACAAACCTTGAATAATCCTCTCTTCAAATTTTCCATACGAATTTGGTATAAATTCTTAAATTCTAAACCAGTTGAAGTCTACTAACCCACAAACTGTGTCTTTACAGATTCTGGAAGCTCAGCAAGTTAGATGCTGTGGTGTGGCTGGTCACTTTCCTCATAACGGTGCTAGTCAACATTGATATTGGGTAAGCAATCTTAAACCTAATTTCCAATAAGTATATGACCAGGACTATATTCTCCCAAGACTTTCCCCTGGAAAAGATGCCGACCTGGAAAACCCTTAACAGATTTTGGAATTTATAATGCTAATCTTTCACCTAGTTTAAAATTTGAAAAATCTCCTATTTCTGATGGAAAAACGACCTTTCTTTCACTTACCCGACGACTGCTTCAACCATTGACGGACACATTGATATACCCATCAAAATTTTCATGTGTATTTTTAGCTTTGTCCCAGCGTTATAAGATTCAATTTTGTTTGCAGACTAGGAGCTGGTCTGCTAGCCAGTGTGGGAGCCCTATTCTGTCGGTCGCAGAAGCCCTACACGTGTCTGCTAGGCCGTGTGCTTGACACTGACTTGTACCTCGACACCAAGCGGTACAGAGCCGTAAGTAACATTTCATCAATACCTTTACTTCTCAACATAAATTATTATAGGTCCAGCCATATGTCGCATAACTCAGTCACTTCTTCTGGAGGGTGTTTTTTGTTTGTTACGTCAAATGTTATAGTTCCAAAATACTGAACTGTCCTGTCCATGACATTGACAGCGGGGCGCCACCGTCAATACCGGATCGCTCGTTCCGATTTTTGCCATGTTGGAAACCATATAGTTGAACGATGGTAGCGCCCCCCTGTCATTGAGTTTGGTGGGGACAGTTCAGCGTGGGTCATCTATATTCTCTGTCACGTCGTAATATGTCAAAATCACCCCTCTCGTGCCGCTGCCATACCTCAGGCACTGAATTAAGCGCTAGATCTATAATTGCTTGATATCTCCTATTCTAATGAAGACAAAAAACAAAATCTATAGTTCCAAAATACTGGACTGTCCTGTCGATGACATTGACAGTGGGGCGCCACCGTCAATACCGGATCGCTGGTTCAGATTTTTGCCATGTTGGAAACCATATAGTTGAACGATGGTAGCGCCCCCCTGTCATTGAGTTTGGCGGGACAGTTCAGCGTGGGTCATCTTTACACCTAAATAATAAAAAAACGAAACTAATCCAAAATAAACCTCTGCGCTGATAATGCTCTTCAAATGGTATAAAACCTTTTCTGTGATTCCTAACTTATTTCTATTAACATGTCAAATCTCTTGACAAATTCTATCAAAAGTCACAGATGACATTTTAAAAACAACAAATCCAAAACTACCAGCAATGTGAATCCCAATCATCTTCAAAATGTAAATCAACCTTCAGTCATCTACCAAAATGCAAATTTTCCCTCAAAACCGGTGCGCGTACTGTTTGACCCACCAGCTTAGTTTGGTGGGGCTGATCAGGTGGCTACTCTTCGTAGCATTCAATATCATGCTCATGTGTTCAGTTCAGTTCATGATTATGTTGCTCCATAACGACAGGGAACTGGATATGGCCAGCCATGGAATGCTCATATCGAAATGATAGAAGAAATAGCCAAGGTATGAAAACTGCAAGAGATTTGATGCAAGCTTGAATTGCTTAAACTAAGTGTATGAAGGCACATTCTGGTATAGCAGATAGACAGAATACGACTGGAGCAGAAGAAATAGAAATATGATGCTTAAAAATTGTCTACTACGCCTTGAAATGGAAACGATTTGGAGTTCAATGATGCAAGCCAATATGGACTGCTTATTTTAAGTGTCGTAAGACTCATTCTGGTATAACAGATGGACGTGACTCGATTGGAGCAGAAGAAACATAAGAAACACATTACAGGATATTTTATTAACCACTATTACAGAATAGCAGTGCACCTTCTTCTATGGAAGATTAAGTTTAGAAGCCCTACCTTTGACATAAGATCTGACGATGTACTCGTAATACCGTAACAAACGTTCAATAAAATACATAGTCAATCACAATTTGTTTGTTTCTGTAGTAATTTTGACCAATCTCCATGTTTCCATCCCAAAAATATAACGATCTGATGTTAAGTGTAGATTATCTAGGGTCTTACATACACTTAACTAGTAAAGGCTAACTCACTCTTACTTTAAAACCACGATAGCTGAACGGTGAAGGGGTCGGACTGGCTGACTCTTGATCCGGGGAACGCGGGTTCGGTCCCCGCCGCCGATCGACTATTGTGGTGAGCTCACTCGTGACACAAGCATATTTAGCTTAGTACGAGGGGCTAATGAGACTATTAGTATGAGTAAGTAGTGAAATAACAAATTACTAATAATCTTTAAAAAAAAAAGGTGGCCCAGGTCACAGAGTTTTAGAAAGATATCAGCAGGCAGCGAGTGCCAGTCCCCAGCGGTTTACGTTATAGATAGGTCAGCAAAACAATTTTTGAGTGCAGGTGGGATGTCGAACGTAGGGGATGATACTCCAACCTGCGTTTCGTTCCCCAATATCTAATGGATATTGACGACATTTCTGATTAATTTCTTTTCTCCTTTCTCCAGGCTGAAGAGTTACCAGGCGTGAAAATCTTCCACTACTGCGGCGGCTTGAACTTTGCCAGCAAGAACCTGTTCAGGGAGACCCTCTTCCGCAAGATCGGCTACCTGAAGCCGACCGAGGTGGTGCCCGATGATGACAACAACCTCACGAAAAGTGACTCGTACGAGTGGGACCCCACTATTGGGCATCGGGTAAGAATCTTTTAGACTTTACAATGTTTGAATTATTACAAAACTCATAAGATTTTAAGCTTTCGCCTTCCATAATTGGAATAGTCCGTAATTCTTCATTTTAAATCTTATAAACCACTGGTGTTCCTCAATTTGCTTCCGTGAAAGGTTTATTAATAACTTTTTAGCCACTTTTTAAGTAGAACTATTTACCTACGCACTTTTGTGAAGGAATATTTTGAGCGAATCTTGCTCTTTGTTCTTTAATTAAAGTTTTGATTTTACCTTCTCTGGAGAGGCAAGTGGAGGATTGAATAAAGTAATTTTATGTCATCAAGTCATTATTATTCACTGCAGGAGCACGGCCCTCTCTAACATCAGAGGCAAATTGAGGATTTAACTTACTCGCTACACCAGGGTTTTGGGGGAGGTCTTCCCCCTGTCTATAGCTAAGAAAATGTAAAAATCCAACTACTAGTGGTGTGTATGTAGTGTATCATCTATCTATACCTTGTCTCCCAGGTCCAATGCGTGATAATCGACGCGACGGCGCTGTCGTACGTGGACGCGCCGGGAGTGAAGACGCTGGTGGCTGTGCAGCGAGAGCTGGTCTCCAGCAACATTACTGTTCTTCTGGCTGGGGCTAACGGTAAGAAAAGATAAAAAAGATAAAAGATAAAAGATCATTTATTCACCGAGACAAGGTAATACAACAAGGTAGATGTTACAATAGTTATACAGTTCAGATTATCTCACCAGCAAGCTAGTGTGTGATTATTACATTTTTTTAGAAGGCATTAACACCATCATCATTTCAGCCACGGGACATCCTCTGCTGAACATATTGGGTATTAAATACAAATAGTCTGAAACCAACTTATTCACCAATACCATAATTTGCCAAATCAAGCCATCAATCATAGGTACACAACACACTGATACTTTAGAAGGCTCTCGGCTCATGGCGTTCTATCTCGCGGCCAACGTTCGAATGCCTCATAGGAATATATTTCTGTTATCCCGTACGACTCCCCG